AAAGAAAATTTGGTGATTCCATTTTTTTCTTGTTAAATTTAGGAGTTTCTGTTTCTTTTCTTAGTAATTGGAAGCTTGTTTTTGAAGAAACCTCAAGTTTTACAAATGGGTGAGGTTTGTATAGAACCGAGGCTCTAAACAATCAGAGTAGAGCCCACATTCATATAGTGTCAAGAAATATGGTTTCAATGTTGAAAATCTTTGTGATAGTCTTTAAATATAATTTCATTTCTAATTATAAAAATTTAAAGCTTCAAAAATAGTGTAGATCGAGCAATTTATGATAACTTGAAAATCTTGAAAATTGACGGTCCAAAAATGCATTACAAGATGCATGATTCCCAAAATTTGAAATCCATTTTTTTCTCATGTCCATGCATCTTGATGTTGAGATGATCAATTTGAGGATATTTGGGCATCAAAACAACCTCTTCTAGTGAAATTTTTGAGGTGCGCTCTAGTTTGATTGTTTAAACTTTAAAGCCTCGGCTCTATATAAACTTTTTTCTTTAAAAATAGGTGAGTCATCCTGGAGTTTCATTCAAAATTTGTCTCCAAAACCCCTTTTTAAAACCACCAAGAAGTAGGAAATAAAATGGTTTGTAATTTCCTCCAAATACTATCCGAATGTAGATTTTTTTTTTCTCTTTCCGAATATTGAGTCCAGATCATAAAAGAAACCTAAATTTTGAGTCAAGCCCAGGAGTCAAAAAGAGCCTTCAGATAGAGATTTTAGGAAAATTAGAGGATTTAATTATGCTCCGTGTTGTAAGGTGTGAAGATTTTTACTCAATTCAGTTTGGGTTCCACTTTAATGGTCGAGGGAGATTAACAAAATGCCATCAGATAGTGTCCAAAGGAGCAGACAGTACCATGGAAACTTAGAACCATATTGATGTAAATAGTTGATTTGTGTGCTCTACTGAATGTTGCCTTTGTACATGTTTGCAAAGGAAAAGAGCTGGGGTGACTAGTGCTCGACGAATTGCAATGCTACGTCCTAGGCCCTCTCCCCACTGATTCAACCCGAAAAAAAAAAAAAAAAGAAAGGAAAGGAAAGGAAAGAAAGAAAAGAAAAGAAAGAAAGCAAATGGCAAACCTGATAGACTTGCGAAACAGGGGATACTTTTGTGAGAGCTACGGGTTACTCACTGGTCCTTGTGATGCTGTCTTACTTTCTTATCTTTGAATAGATTTGAAGTTGAATGAAAGTTCATAATCTTTGTCAAAAGAAAAAAGAGAACTAAAAATCAAAACGATCAAGGAAAGTTTCATCAATTTCTGAAAATTTCGAGTTAGGATATGAGGATGTCTTAGTTGTAATCCATGATTTCCTTGGGAATTTCACTCTAAAATGTGTTCGATACAATCTACAAGAGTTATTTCATGATTTCCAACACAGTTTCTGTGGATTTCAAACTTTAAGGCTCATTTTTTTATTTTTTCTTAAGAACACTTGGATTTTCAAAAATAATTCTATATTTGGTATATATTATGCTAGACTTAGTTGTCGTTTTTGGTTTAGAGAGAATTAGAATTTTTTTTATCATTTCAGTGCTGATTTATGTAGGTTTCGATTTTCTATAATATTTCTATAAATTTCCACATTTTTTCCTATTTCTTGAAAACTACATGATTTTTTTTCTATGTATGGAATTTTAAGTCTAGATCTATTTGATGATCAACGACTAGATTGGGTATTTTTTTTCGTTGACTTAAAAACGTTTTTGACGAATATGTACTTTTGCTTTGAGAAATCAAGGAAAAATCAATTGTTACATTTTAATTTTGGGATTTTGTAACGACAGTTCTTTTGTTATCACAAATATTATTTGATGATTTTCCTAGGATTTTGTGGAATTATTGATCTCCAGCATTTGTTTAGTCTATATTCAATATTTTTTTATTTTATTTTATTTTCTATGTGATGATTTTTGCACTATTACTAGTCTCCTTATATTATTTAGCAATTTTCACAAACTTTCTAAAATTTTAAGAAATTTTTTGTTCAAATTTCTAATCCTTAGGAAGAGTAGGTAATCATCATCATCATCGAGAGGATTTTCCATGTTTGGCCCTTCAACATAGCCAACTACCAAATTATGCATTGATGGTCGGTAGGGCCCAGAGTAGGGCCCCCAACTAAATGTGAGCACAAAGAATGCTTACATGGGGAAATGGTAGAGGTGGGGGAGATTATTATTGAGTTTATGCAGACATGATCGATGATGGGGAATGTCGATCATGTCGGACGGTTGGAGTGCATCATTTCTCATCCTTTTAGTCTTGGTACCAGTTGGAACCTCTCTTAATTGTTACTTGTAAAGCACCTCTCTTAATTGTTACTTGTCATATTTTTGCACCTTACTTATAGATCATAGTGATGCAGGTGCTCTGTCCAACTTGTCTGCTATGGGGTGTAAACAAAACTAGAGTATATTTCAATAGATGCATACCCTTAAGAGAAATAGGCTGACTTTAGATCGGCTACACAAGCTGGTTTACGTGCATTACAATTTGAAGTTGAGGTGAGAATTACTCACTATTGCATATTTATAAAGGATTTAGTCGAGGTACGGGTAGTGGAAGAGGAGGAGACAATTCTTATTAAGAAGACATTTCTAGCTGCGATTGGTAAGGAAAGAGATGAATATGAAGGGTGGAGGATGACATGAGCTATCAGGAGGAGGCCACAACATGAGGAGCTAGATGTAGATGTGCAAGTTCCTGCAGAGGGAGTTGGGAGAGGAAATCAGGTATAAAATGAATGGTGATTCGGTTGATTCGAAGGCCACCAAATCCCAGCCGGATGTATGAGCTCGCACAGGGGTGGATGAGCCTCAACCTTAGCAATAGCAGGCCGCATGAGTATTTCAGTTTAAGGAGGAGAGTTTACAACACCAGTTTCTTAGATGAGCCAATGGGAGGTAGGCATCTATAGTCAGCCTAGTTCTCAAGATCTCGAACATGCAGACTCATTCCTGGAGATCGCTCAACAGTATAGCACCGATCGATACACAATGGCAGGGATGACATGTATGAGTCATCTCACTGTTTATTTTGGTTCATGATTAGATGTTTTGACCTATTTACTGATAATTGGGATATTCGATTATTGCTGTGGATGTTTCTGATTTACTACATTTTTATTTTGTAACTGAATAATTACCACAAAAAATATTTTATGTGGTTTTTTTTTATTTTTCATTTATTTATGGCCAAATCGAATCGATCCAAACGACCAAGAAGCTGATTGGTACAGGCGGACCCATCCAATTTGGTAAATCAAATGAAACAAAGAAAACAATGACTTACAGTGGAAAACCATATAATGACAAAGTCAAAGATAGATAACTCATGATATTCCCCCCCATAAACAGAGAATCTCTCTAAGCCCTCTCTCTCTTCCCAAATCTCTCTCCATATTAAGTAAAATCCATACCGTAATAGAATCTCCTCATCTACACCAAAATTTAACTCATGAAATTTCTTCTATAATCTCTCTCCTCATATAAATCATTCAATCTATTTGAACTAAATTAGCATGAGATATATCAACCCCAAATAAATCAGCAAAGACATACGCGTGTTACCCGTTAACTTGTCCCTCAAGCCTCAACAAGGTTCCCACCCTATGCTCTCTACTAATAGCTTTCTTTTCTAAATGACCAACACGTGTCAGACCCTTAATCGTTGTCTAATATTTGAGATAGCAATAATTACAATACTAAAGTGGTAAAAATACATGAAAAAAAAAATCCAAAAGTATTCCTTAAAACTTATGAATTAGAGATCAAGCTTTTATTAGAGTCTATGACCATCAAACCTATATCCAAAATATTTACTCCACAATCCAGATATAGATAAGTATTTATTAAAGTTGAAAATGAGAAATCTTTAGTAGGAAGTAGAAACAGTTATTCAACACCACGACCCATACTAAATATAGATCCCTAACCCTAAATATATGCTGGCAATGAGTAATCTCGTAGCAGGAACAATTGCTCAACTCCACCAGCCATGGTTAGCATAGACTACATATGTTAGGAATGAGTAACTAAATAATGTACTCGTACCATGCATAGTTCAGGTTCCTTTTGGTAAATGAGGATATTGGATGCTGGGTTTGAGTGCCATGTTCATACACATACCAAGTATGGAATATTTTCACTGTACATTAAGAGCCCTTGCTGACCCATTAACACATTAATCAAGTACTTGCATACTACTATGCTTTAATGTTTACACACAAGTCTAGTTCAAAGCCCGAATTTGGGTAGCAATAGACGCACGCTTTATGCACTAATATCTGAATTTTTCATTTGTCTTCCTCAAATACATAAAGCAGATAGAAAACAACAGATAATCTCATTACTAATATTCTTTACTGAATATTCATCACCACTTGCTCACCGTTGATGCAGGAAGTCTGCAAACAACAATGCAATATAGTAAAACCTAACAATTTTCATATCAATCATCTTCAGATTGAACTACCATTATGACAAACAAATATGCATCAAATAACTTACGGTATAAAGAGAAATACTCATCAAATACAATATCAAAGTATAGAGAACTTTTTAACTTTCGCTTGGCATCAGCAATGTTAATGTCCCATGCCTCGAGCTTTAACTTCAAAGCATTTACAGAATTGAATCTCAGCACAGCTTCCACCAACAAATTAAATAATCGGCATCATACATACAAAGTTTATGAACAACCAATGCACCTCAAAGCCCAAATATTAAGAAGAAAAAAAATGCCCTATTCACGACACAGCTTGGCTCCATGCCATTGGCAATATGCCTCAACAGTCACCATCACATAGTTAGGGAACCCTGGAAGTTTTCCTTGTTTTCTGTCATTGTTTCTAAGCATAAAATGGCATTACAACGGGTAACAAAAAAGTAAAAAAGAAAACAGAGAGACATAGACCTTAAGTAACTTTACAAAAAGACCAGGGTAAAATTTGATTTTGTATCACTTGTGTACAAAAAGAAGTAAATCACCATAAGATACATCAATATTCAGAAGCGAGAACCTTGATGAGAAAGCTGCTTATGACCCACAACCAAAATCAATGACCCACTCATAGCCCAACGAAAATTATCAACTACAAATCACTGAAATCTTATGACACAGAAAATCATCACCAAAGGATTCTGGCATTCAATTGTATAATCACTTGAAGACCATGATTACAAAGTTGGAATTCTATTCAAACTGAGTACCCTTCAATGTGTCTAAAATCTAAATTGGAGACTAACAGGAGATGGAAAATTGCATACATACTTTGCACAGAGCACAAATATTTTTTAGGGATGGCAGCCTGTAGCCATCATCTTGTAGGGCTTGTATTCCACTCTAGTTTGGGTAAGAGTTCTGCCTGAGGAAATGAATTGTTTGAAGGAACATCAAACAGTAACACTGAATCTGAGGCTTCATCAACGGCATCAAATTCAGGTGAAAGCCAATGTTCGCAATCAGAGAGAGGGGATTCCTTGGAGATACTATTCCCTGTGTTTATGCTCCCTTGATGTGTTTCCTCCCTTTGATAATTCTTCCAAGGCGTAGAGGCACACAATTGAGTACTTTCTCGAACCCCAGAACTTGTGGCGATCTTGCTCTGGCTTTTTGTACCTGCAGTGTGAAAATAGATCAAGCTTAGGAGGATTTCATGTGGAAGAACGCCTCAAAATTCCTTTCACCACTAACACAAAATATTTTCTAAAAAGCAGAAGGAAAATATTAAGGTACACTGCAACCCAGTCGACTAACAAAAATCACTGTCAATTGGGGTCATCACTGTCCAACCAAATGAAGATGGCAGTGTCTGTCTCCATCAACATCCATTTTATTGGACAGATTATGGGCCATGGTCAATTGGAATATAAAATGCTTCCCCAAGTAACAGCGGCCATAAAATATGCACGAATTATAGCATCAGTATTGATCTAGATGTTTAATTAATCTAGATTCCCATGAGTTACCAATATATATTGAGTCAACAGCATGATATATTTGCTAGTGTACAATCTATCATGGGCCTTTCTCCTCAGAAAGTTTGTTTCTTGAGGAACCTTGAATGATATAAGATACTCATTATTTTAGATCAAGATTGATAGTCTGGAAACTAAGCTATAACCGAATTGACTGGAAACCTACTATCCATTGAATTCTCACCATCCAATGAAATGATGGCTGGTGATGGAGAGAAAGTGGGACCCACCATTGGGGCCATGTTCTCTAAGTGCCGGTCCCACTATCTCCATCACTGTCCATCTACTTGGGGAGTGATGAAGCCAATGCACTTACCTAGAAAGACAACACCAAACAAGATCAATGTCTCAATGCAGATATATTAAGTGAAAAGTACCACAAATTGAATGACCAGGCGGTTGTCCAGAAGAGTTTATCAGCAGTTCATATCTGTCAGAACGTGCGATCTCACCTCTCAAGAAATTATCTTCCCCACCTAGACTGGAAGATTTAAGGTTGCCATCTCCATTCCTGTTTGGTATATTCATTACTTTTTTCTGCTAAAGGAAGAGAAACAAATTTATAAGAAAGCCCATTAACATTCACAGTCACAATCTTGCAGTGAATTTCCTATGTTACCCACACGATGAGAACAAGAAACTGACCTTTGCATTAACTTTACTACTTTCAAATTGCTTATGCTCAAATTGCTTATAGAGCAAAGAATATCCACTCATCCACCCACTTTTTGTCAACTCTGTAGTAAATAGAAGTTGCCGAAAAACCTTAAGTAACTGGTTGTTCCCACCAAATTCAGTGCCGCAGAACATGCCTTTCGATATGAGTCTCTGGAAATTCACTAATGCCCCTTCAAATTGTTCACTCCTGAACATGAGTTTCAAGCTGAAAATAAATAGACAATTATGAGGTCAGGATGGTGGGATTGAGAAAGTTGAAAAAGGGGGTATATTATGAACACTTTCAACCTTTCAGGAACATTGGATCTATCATCAGAAGACACCAATCTCATAAGCTGTGACTGTTCCTCTTCTGTCAAAAGCGTGCTAAATGTTTCATAGTTAAGGGAATCCTGCAATTTACTAATTCAATAATCACATAAACCATTCCTCAAGCATTGATAACATCAGGCACAAAAAGAAGTTAACATCAGTGCTTAAAAATCTCGTCCGACACGGGGATTCACCCGAGTCGGACCAGATAGGGAGGCTCGAAATTCAGGGACAATAAACCCCAGAATCGCCTGAGTTTCCCATTTTTCCAGTATTTTTCTAATTATTCTCGTTAGAACTTCCCAGTCTGACTCAGGACTCCCCAAGTGGGACAGGTAAGATAAGGGCTTGGGCCCCTGGAAAGTCAGAGCGCAAGTACAACTTTTTAAAAGCTGGTTAAACTACAAGTCTAAAGGCATACAGCAAGGAGAATCAGAATCAACAATGTTTAATATACAATATGCCTATTACCTTTATTTCGCTACATAGAGCCAGTGAAGTAGAACTGAGTAAAAACCTCTCCCTGTAAGACCAAAATTGCCAATGACATGATTAATTCCACAATCCACTATGCTGCAAGTTAAAGCAAAAGATAAACTGACATGGAATATATAGAGAAGCCAGTATATCCTCAAAATATGCTGTGCTTACATTGTAAGGTTACTTCTTCTAGCATCTGAATTATGTAAAATTCCCAAGTCACTTGTTTTCCTTCTATTTCCCATTTCATCATCATCCCTAATATTTACATATGAAGCATCAACTATATTACACCCTCTACTATCTGCCATAAGCGAACTTGCTTCTGAGTCATCATCCACTGTTTTGGAACGTGGGTGGCTCAAAACAGTGGTCCCAAGGCCTATCTCGGTTGACCCAAAATTAGAGTTGACCCCATATCCAAGATCGTCTTCAGATGAGCTCGATACAAAAGATATGTCACCATCATGTGAAGCTCCTTTGCTGAGCTTTTCCCCAAATGGGCGAGGACGGGATATGAAGGACCTCTTCTTTGAGGGAACAGGTGATTCCCATACAAAATTATGCATCGCAGCTGGAAGCAAAAGTAGCAAAGTATTAATGTCTCATAGGCAAGAAAGAATTAGTGGACAGGAAATGTTCTTTTTTGGAAAGTACACTACAAAGCAAGGGATGATGAAAATCATAGTCCATTTTGGTCACCTGTACATTGAAATGATGAGCAGCAAACAAGACCCACCAGGACAGGACAGGACCATAATTGGGATCTCACTCTCTCTCCATCATGGTCCATCATTTCATTGGACAGTGATGATCCCAATGGACAATGGTTATCCATTGTCCATTGGTTACAGTATCACTCTTCTCCACAAAAATAAAATGATGATACCTTATAATGGAAAAATAAGTCAGTACAAGTAAGCAAGATGATAAATAAACAACTAGAGTTTAGAATCTCCTTCTGAGGATCCGAGATCTATCGTGAACATGGAGGTAGGTAGGGGAAAACATTTACTAGTCAGTATTAAGAGCCAATGTCGATTTATGGATTTCAGAAGTGGACAGAGCAATGATGGTAAGGTATCTCAGAGATGTGATACTCCCAAACCAAATAAGCAGATCCCAGAGAGGTGTTGGGTCAAGAGGCGGTTTGAAGGGAAGGTATTTCAACAGAAAAGTCACAACTTCAGTAAGTCAACGCTTAGCGATATTAGTCTCTGTGTTCGATATTAGAAGATGAACAACTACAGCCTGGAAGACAGTCCTAGAGGTTAAAGTCTGGAAACAAAAAGATGGATTTATTTCATTTCAACTGCACTTCGTGCACTTTGTGCGGGAATGGGGTTGAGGTCGTTTGGTGGTAGCACCACTTGAGTCTCAACTACCAGTTTAGGTTTCCATTCCCATTGACACTTTCGAAAAAATCACTAATTATTTCTAAAAATGGGTAGGGTTAGAGGCCCATATTCCCCACTGATCTACCCAAAAAAAACTGCACTTTGTGAATGAGGTGTAGAGGGTGACCAAATATGGCACTAATAGAATGAGAGATGCCCGCTTTGGCCTGAAAAAAGATCCCCTTTGGAAATAAGCACTAGCTTCGTCGCTTAACTACTGCAGCTGAAGATAGCTAGATAAAGATCTATGTTCACAAAGGAGATAGGGCTATAACCAGATGCATTCTAGCTTTTCAGCCAGCCAAATATGCTGGTTAAACCAGTACGAGTAAAAATATACAGGCTCACAATATCACCATGGAGTCAACAATGCTAGCTACTGAAGCTGACATTGTGAAGCAATCTGAAAGCAGCGAACATAACCAGATACAAACCTATAGCCACAAGATATGACTAATCAAAAATAATATATGGTTAGTCGAATATTGCTTCTTTTTCTTTCTTCTTGCTTTGTACCTGCAAATGAATCCGCTAATTCGATGCTTTCTCTTCAACAAACCATCCATTTACAGACCACAACATTGAGGGGAATAGGCAACACTCAGCATCCTCAGGGTTAAAATGGAAAAAGATAAGCCGATCCCATTTTTAATTCAATTTTCCCCATTAAACCTCACCTCTCCATTCTTGTCCTATAACGGATGGTGGAGATGATTCCTTAACATTAATAAACGCTCGCAGACTTTTGACAGTGTTCCAGATTATGTCTCCTGTACATGGTAAGCCACCAAAGTTGAAGATTGGAACCCTGCACGTCCTCGTGCAGGACTTGATCTCTTATGGTCACTCCCCACTAGTATTTTTAAATTAGAGTACAAAATTTTAGCGACAGACACAATAAATCCCCACTTTCTTTTTATTCTGAAGCCTTAAGTAAACTTGGAAAGATTCGTTCACCTTTGTCTGAATAGTCCTTCTCAGGTATATACTTTCGTGGAAAGCAACCTTCTGAGTAAGTTATTCCAGAGACAGAGCTTGACCTTGTGCTGCCAGCTTCTTCACATCCTCTCACACGATCTCCAGTGGTCCTTGATGTGTTCATAAGGTCATCATCTACAAGAGATGAAGTCCTTTTCTTCTGCAATCTTTGGTCCTTAGCTTTCTCAGGTGCACTTTTTCCCTTTGGCAACCTATTATCAGATGGTGCAAATCCCCCTGAGTGCATTGGCATATAATTCGCAAGTGTTCCTTTGGTCCTCCATCGTGACCCACAGGCATTGCATAAAACCGGTTTGTCTGGAGGTCCATTGCGCCAAAGAGGTGTAGCTGAAATCATCAATTAGAAAGGTATTGGAAACTAATCAATTAGAAAGGTGTTTAGAACTAGCAATGTAGCAGAGTAGACAATAAGAAAACTAATTGCTTTTTATGGGTCATAAGAAGAACTACTAACACAAAGGGCAACAAAAAAGAGAAAATTGTTCATAAAGACTGCTCTTATGTAACCAACAAGAAACAAGTGATAAATGTGAATGAATTCATAGCTGCAGAAGGTATTAAATAAACAAAATATAAAACATAGGTCAGGCATTAAATTTTAATGTGTAAATGGACAAGCATGCATGTCATCCATATAAAACTAGAAAAGAAACATACCAACATGATACAAGAGCCCAATCTCAGGGGTATTCTTTAATATATGAATGGGCATATAAACCATCTCCACATATGCCATCTCACAAAATAGGTTACTCTCAATCAACTAGAAAGTTAAGAATGCTAAAAGCACATTGGCTATCATACTAACTGGCCAACCCCAATCATTTCTTCTACATAAGCACCACATACAGACCCACAAAGTGGTTCTGCGACAAAATGTTCAAATATCAAGGCTACAACATAGAAATTAGAAGCCTGCTCCCAATTTAAGGATATAGAGCGTATCACTTCCTACTTACCAGCCAATTCAGACATATTTCATAAAGAAATAGGCCAATATGAGGCATTGTCTTGCAGTGTCACTAATGACTATATGTACTAGCCATGAAGCACAAAGAACCAATCATCGCCAAACAATGGGCTATATCAATGTTGCAGGACACCCATAAAAATGCATTACCTGCAAAAGAGGTTGCCTGGTCCAGTCTGGAGGTCCCAAGATAATTATTAAAAAAAAAAAGGAAGATCGTTATAAAGAAAGGATTCAAACTTCTATTTCCAAAATCTACAGATTCTCCAGCTGCTATATGTCACAACAGACATACTAGAGTAGAAATTACAGAATGTCAATTACATTGCAAAGAGAATAGAAAACCAAATGTCTTACATCTCCTTTACAACATTGCACAAAAATAAAATAACAACAATAATGAAAAATTAAGAGCATAATGCTAGTGATGACCCCCAATTACAATTTTAACCTCGATGACCCATCAAACAAAAGCGGACATACAAAATATTGCCTCCTCTACTTGACATGCTAGAAAAAAGAAATCAACCAAAAAACTATATTCATCATCTTCAAAAGCTTTTTGTGACATCATGATCTTTGCAAATTCAAAATACCCCAAAAAGAAACCAACATGCTCCTAAGCTACACCAAAGAACCCGTTTCCACTTTCCAGCCTTACTTCCAAGCCAACCTCAATGTATTTTAAAACTATTACCGTCCTTGACCAATGGCAAAGTTCTCCTTCAATCCCAAAGATTCATTTGTATGGAATGCCTAATGAAATTTGATTTAAACCCCTTTCTCCAAGTTCAAGTACTTCACCACAAACTGAATGAGTGCATCATTGTATTTCCCCTCTTTCATTCGACAAGTAAGATTATAACTAGGCCAACGTCCTTGTTACAGCCATCTTATAACGCAGTTCACAAATCACAAAAGGCTTTGATCTCACGGGTGAGACCATTATTAGCATAATTCTCTTGGAAATTGGACAACATTTCTACTCTTGCATTGCTGAATTGAGCCTTATGAGGCAAAAGAATTGCAAAAGAGCACCAAAAATGTCATTGGATGAAAGACATCACAGCACACCAGTAAACCAGCCACAGAAAATAGATAGCCCTGTTTTGAGACTATTGCAAAACCACTTACCACAGTTGTAAGCGCAAAGTTTGCTCTCGTGAAGTCCAACAAAACACAATGGTATCATCCATACACTGAAGATGGATTACCCCATCCACATCTCTGAAAGATCAAAATCCTTAGATAAGCCCTGCCCCACAACGCAATTGACATCCGAACCACAGATTCTATCAAAATCATAAGCACGTCTCCTGTTCCATATTTTAATGACCATTCTTGGGAAGGCAACTACTGCAATGTATGCTGCCATCCCATTTCATAGTCGGTCATAAGACCAAATCCACTCGATTTGTAAAATGAGAAATTTCGACATGCACTAACATATGCCTATTCTAAATACTGTCTTGTATACGTTCCTGTAATTGTTAACCATCGTGAATTTCTTTGTGAGCTCCAAAAACCCATTAAACTGACACATCTGATCAAAAACACCTTGACTAGAGGATACAAACTTACAATGATTCTAAGTCCTTGGGACAAAACAATCACCATTATCCTATTAAAAACTACCACCGTGAACAAAATAAATAACAAACACCTTGCTCACTAATCATAAGAGAAGCAAACTACTCCACTAGAGTTTCTAGGCACCAACAAAACTTCCAACCTCTACCAACTTCATTAGGGTTCTCTCTATCAGCACAACTCACCATAAATTTTCACAACCAAAATGACTTCAATGAATACTTATACCATTCAAAACACAACCATCACAATTAAATTGTAGACATCTATAAGAGGTAGTGAAGAACCTGAACTCACATTCTCTTTGCTGCACATTATGGCCATCTAGGATCCCAATCCATCTTCAGTTCCAAAAGTTAATGTCCTAAATAAGCCACCCACCTTATAGCCATCCACACTGTTTTGTCTCATCATTCCCATTATCTTCTACACATCCCTCCCTCAGAGAGACCTCTTATCTCTCTCTTGACCTTCCCTGCACGACTAAAGTAGATGAAGATGCATCTACCCATAATGCTGTTGATCATAATGCCTTCAATATTCCAACTCCCTCACTTTACTCCCAAGTTAAGCATTTCATGAGAATAGGTACCAAATGTACTCCCACTTTATTTGGAAATTCATATCAGACCACCAAAGTTCAAAACTCACCCCTTCAAAAACCACAAACAATAGCATCAATTGATATGGAGGCCCCTCCTTGTAGATGCCCATAGCCAGCTAGTCAACAAAGCAATCCTCGATGGACCCTAGCAGTCATGCTCAAGACATCAAAAAGAAAGAAGCCTCATTAACTGGGTATAGTGAGACTAAAATAGTAAAAAGAACAATCCATCCACGATCCATAACCAGCCATTCATCCAGCCTCGTCTTGAAGAACAAGATTCTGACCAAAACTTCAAGCAACTTGAGCATGTCCTCCGCCGAAAAATTTATGACTCGTAGTCAGATAACTACACCATCCCCCATAGTACCCCATGACAGGTTTGACAACTCTCTCCTTTTAAAACTTTCTTTGTCAATTTATGATAACACCTCGAGACAGTGTCGATTTCGACTTGTAATTTCTTATTGAAAAGATATCGAACCTGCCACTAGGAAAATATTTGCATAAATAGAATCATTACATGGAAGCCAATAATTCCCAGTAAGAAAGATATCAAGCAAACCTAGAGGATAGCTCATCCGCTTTCTTTTCTATATCGGTAATTCAACAAACATTTCCATGAAATGACAATTGAAAGAAGTAAAGTAACAGATTAAGGTAATTCAATAGGGATGTCCTCCGAATGGTTTGTGCACATGCGATAAATGAACCACAGGAATCCAAAAATTGACTGGTTTTTCGAATGCATAAGCTATCAAAACTTATTTAGGCAAGCCCCATGGAGAAGATAACTGACATACTATCATTCATTCGTGTTTAGAAAGAAATCATTCCCCAAATTCAACACTTATTTTCCAAATTTGCATGCAATTTGTGCTTGTTCATAGTTAAATGGCCTTCTTAGTTATCAAAGAAAATCACAAAATATTAAAATCACAAAATATTAGGCCAATAAAGAAAGAGTTTTATCACCATTGCCAATCTTTAGAAAACCAGCATTGGGCTTCATATATTTGAAGTGAGATTTCCCTTAGTGATTCCAATTGAAAAAAGGGGATCACATGACATGATCAAAATTGCCTATGACTATCTTTCTTGACTACAGACTGTTAAACATGGTCCTTGAAAAAGAATCACCACTAATTTACCATAACATAAACATCGAAACATTTCCAAGAATGCAATACCACACTTTGCACCAGTTCCATTCAAAACGTATCCATCTTTCTCCCTTTTGGTATTAATGTCGTGAAATGGAAGCATAAACAGAACATAGAGAGGGAAAGAGAAGGGAGAGAACCTAGAGAGAGAGAGAGAGAGGGTAAAGAAAAACTCACTTAAGATACCGCAATGGCAGCACGGTCCCTGCTTGCCCATTGAAGCCTTGTGTGGTTTTTCTTTGGTATTATTATTAGAGCCTAAGAGAGAGGCTTCAATATCTGGAGAGACAAAACCAACTGTAAATGGAGGGGAAAGAGAAAGCAGAGCACACAAATGAATAGGGAGCTTAGTTACAGGTAACTCATGACTACAAAGCTCAAGCAAACTTTCAGGAGATGCCAAAAGGTAGAGAGAGAGAGAGAGAGAGAGTTGAGGGCAAATGCGGGTGTACAAGCTATTTGTGAATATGTAAGCAAACAGAGGGAGAAGGGTAACACGAGAGAGAAAGTTCTTAGAGAGAGAAAAGAGACGAGGGGGAACGAGGGTAGGGGTGGCGACGGTGTGAGGATTAATAAGTGTCGACGAATAAGGAGAGAGA